GTGGCAGCAGGCTTTTTATAAAAAGAAATACTACAAGATTGCCTTTTGTTCTGGTTGTGTGTGTGTGTGTATTTGGGTTGGAAACGCCATTAAACTGTTTCTTGTACTTTCAGTGTGTTCACGTTGGAAATACCATGACAATGGCAGCCTCCTGTTTTTCTGCAGATTCCTAATAGGCTGACATTTGATTTGTATTCCACACAAACTAATACATATCAACTTTACCCCTACATTTGTTTGTACAAGTATTCAAAGAGAAGAACATTTTCAAGCATATTCATGTTCAGATCCAATACTTATGTATGAATTAATTTACAAACATGTGTATGTCTAGTCACACAAATACAGCTATAAATATGTATGTGTATGTACATATAATATAGGTCTATGCAAAGGGTATGTTGAAAATTATTTTTTTAATGAGAAGGTGTGTAGATTTATTGTAAATTTTTAGGAAAGTTATGGAGTGGGGGAAGTTGTGTTTCTGGGACTGCCTGGGTCTTAGACTGACCCAGTCATCATCTCTGACATAATCTCCTTCAAAATTTGTGTTTATTCATTGGTTTGGGAGTTTTTTTATGGCACATCTTACCTACTTTTTCATTATCTGGTTTTCCTTGCTCAGATCTGGTGGTTTGGTTAGTACTAAATTTTGATTTACAGACCCAGCCACTGTCATCTTATCCTCTACCAAGTACACAATCTGGCACTGGCATGTAGTTTTGGGAAGGAGGACGTACTTTCACTGTGGCAGACCTACAGTATTTACAACATTAGCATGTGTATTTTATGAAAAACCTCCAGTTTGGCACTAAGTCCCCTTATTTACCAGATTTAGGCTGATTATGATTTTTGCCCAGCTGCATGCACATATCTCCCTATAACCAATCTTCTGTATAAATCCTGCCCTCCCCCACCCCAAGCTGCCAGTAAGAACTTTCATATTGCTAATGACAAAATAATATAATGTTCCTTGTCCAGGATCAAAGCACACTCAAATAATGAAAAAATCAAAATTGCAAAGTGCTAGTAAAAATGGTGGAATCGAAAGGTTTATGTGAGTGATAAGCAATGAACAAACACCAGTTTTGCTAATATTCATCTCTTCCACTTTAATGTTGCAAGCTATTGGGAGCTCAGGAATCTTGGTAACATTGTCACCTCTTAATGCAGCAAGACGTACACCTGGGCAAAACACATTGACAGTCACTTCTGTGCCAGTAGATGCTGTCAGAGAAGCACGTTGAACAACCTTCAGATATAGTAGATTCTTATCATGAAGGTATATCAGCCAGCAGAATTCCACCTTTGTTCTCTTAGGGGGCAAATCATGCCCCACCCCTCCACATTTTGCAAGCGTGGAAGGAACACGCTGAAAGGAGTGGAACCAAAGTGGTTCTGCTGACTGGAAGAGGGTGGCAGGATGCAGGAAGGTTCATGAAGCTGCTTCTGCACTGCCACAGAAGAGGTGATCTTTACAGATCCACCAGTCAAACTTCACCCTCAGAGGGAAAGACATTAGCCATCAGCTTATCATCTGTCCCAACTTGGCCCTCTCTCTGATTGTGCAAAATCTGTTTACAGGGACTGTGGAATTCACCCTTTACACCTGTGATATTGCTGACATTACTTTTTATTTGTACAGCACTAGCAAAGACAGCTGCTGCTAGACTAGCCATTTTAATTGACTTTCTCCATAGATAAGCTGCTGAGGGTGGGATGTTATCTGTGTGATTTTGTCTTTGTGGAAATTGGTGACTCTCAAAGACTTGAAATGTCTATAGCCCAGTTATTCCAGAAGGAAATTCACTAAAGAAATGTTAATATTTGCATAATCCACCCATACTTTATTCTGTGAATAAACTTCAACAATCTGGGTCAGATCCTCAGAAGCTTGATTGACTTCAGCAGGGCTACAGCCATTTACACCCATGGTTTTGCTTTTCCTTGTGTCATTGCAAAATAATAAACCAGTATTGTTAAGAAAGGCTGTGTAGAGTGAGCAAAAATCCTCCAGGAGATTTGCTTCTTCAGATGAAAGACCCATGGTTGGAAGTTATCTAATCTCTGTGCATTACCATGTTCTTTGTGGAAATCCCTCAAAAAAAGTGTGTAAATGCAACTGAACTACTTAGCAGTACAGGTGTGGCAATGGTTTATATTAGGTTAGAGACAAGAATTAATCCTGTTAAATGATCATTTGAAGAACAGTGTATGTAGGAAGTGATTGTTTAGCCTTGTGGGCCAGGCCTACTTATGTTGAAATCCATGAATTTTGCCATTGACACTGATGGAGCAGGACTGCAAAACAGTGTAATAAATCCTGGCAAAGTGGATTTTCCCCACTCATCACTCCAGATGTGTCACACTGTCTTGCTTTCAAAGGGATTTCTTCTCTCTAAAATGGATCTAGGACAGTTTAATCTTTTGTGTATATTTAAGAAACAAGCCTGCTTGTTTCTTTTAAAGATGCTGAAATAGTTCATTTCATTTATAATACAGACTAGAGGTATGGCCCTGTAAAATATTTAAATACTAATTATTTCTGTATTACTTCCAGAATTGTATGAACTCTTAACTGACGGACATACTTCGTATTTACTTTTATACAGGATTCGGATGTTAATTGACGAAGGATATGAAGACAGAATTGTAATTGCTCATGATGTGCACACTAAGAATCGATTGATGAAATATGGAGGTCATGGATATTCACATATCCTCAAAAACATTGTTCCTAAATTGCTAATAAGAGGCATACCCCAAACTATAATTGATAAGATATTGATCGAGAACCCAAAACAGTGGCTGACTTTTAAATAGGGCTCATGATTAGATATTCACATCTTGTATGTGAAACTTGCTGAGAAAAGTCAGATTTGTTTCAATAGAGTGGTCATTTTAAAGCTAGGTTCTTTTGAGGAAAACTTGTGTGATGTTCATAAGACCCCCAAAGAGCAGGTAATCACTTCCCTTTTTAATTAGAACAAAAAATGTTGTGTATTATCTCTCCATCTGATTACCTCTAATAATCTGGTCCTGAATGAGTTATTTGTTTTGAGCACAACTACAGAATCTTTCCAAGTAAATATTGAAATAACTGCTTCCAAAGAGCAGATTTAATACTAAAGTTAGTTATCATTCAGGATTATTTTTTTTTAAAGATGCATCAGCTTAACTACTTGAGGAAATTTAAAATGTTTCCAGTTAAATAGCCCCCTTCTGGAGCGATTTGATGTTCCTTGTAATATTGATGATCCTGTTAATTATCCTGCTGTTCTTTAATTAATGCTTGAAAAAGAATATGGCATTTTTAAATAGCTACTGTAGAAAACAGAATAACAGAAGGAAGACAACGTGATTTCAAAAAAGGTACTGTATCTCTCATGATTACAACTTGTAGAGATTATTTTTAAATGAAAATATAAAAGAATACATGGAAAATATATTTTTAATAAAGCAATTTGTAGACCACTAACAACTTTATGTTTTAGAAGTCTTTTTTTTTTTAATTATGTTAAATTTTGAGTTGAACTTTTGGAAACTTGCAAGTGAAAATATGAAATGTCATGCAAATCAGCTTGATGTTGAAAAGATGAAAATCCACAAGGCCAAATATATTACATAATACAATTTAATGAGTTGTTACAATTATAACAAAGGCCATGATTTAATCAGTTTACAAATCAGTTTGTCAAGATGTGATTCAAAAAAGAAATGTTTGCCTTATATATGTTTTTCATTTAAATATTTGTTCTTTCCTCTAGACCAAAACAGGGGTAAATATTTATTTATCCAAAGAAAAGATCGTGTGTTAGCAATGCCAATCTCATTTCAACAGCTTATTCTTTCACGTGTCCAGCTTTTGATGTCCTGTGGTAATGAAGTATTCCTGGTCACTTCTTGGTGAATGTGCATTGCTAGTTATAAATGATTTTTTGCTTGAAACCTTGTTATTTGATACCTACATGAGAAATCTCCAAGGCTTTGCTGCCAACCACTCTGTAGCGGTGGTCATCTGCAATAAAAGCAATTGTGATATGAGTAGATGTTAAGTCAACTATGTGTCTATTATAAAATATATTGCATATAATCAGTACAGTCCATTAATATGGGTTGTTGTCTTTTTTACAAAGAGAGTAGTAATGTTTAACCAAACTGATGTGATGTAATGAGGGAACAGAAAAAAAAAGGCAGTTATGAAGCACAATCTCCCTCTTGAGAACCAAGATTTGTTACATATGAGATTCTCTTTTGAGCATAGACTGATGGCACATCATGTCTTTTGAATTGAACAGCTGTCCAAAGGAGGAACAGACCAGAAGAATGATGTGGTCTGTGTAAGAAATGCCTTAACCATGTAAATAAATGCTTTTTAGGGGGGATTTTTCTATCTTTAAAATCTCTATCTTACAGTTATCAAAAAATCAAAGAGGAAAATATTTTTCTTTAATTATGGCAGATATTTGACACTTTAGTATATGACAAATCTCAATTTGTCCCATTCCCTTGGTAGTTTAGAGAAGGTTGCATGGGGCAGATTATCAGGGCCGGCTCTACTATTTTTGCCGCCCCAAGGAAAAAAAAAGCCGCCCGAACTGCCAAAGCAAAGAAAAAAAGCCACTCAGACTGTCGCCCCAAGAATGGATGGAATGCCGCCCCTTAGCATGTGCCGCCCCAAGCACGTGCTTCCTCCGCTGGTGCCTGGAGCTGGCCCTGCAGATTATGTAAAACAGAAAAACTAGGTCTGGCCTCTCACTACTCCATAGCAATTTATACAAATAGTATTTTTATTCTGCCATGAATGTCACCTAAGATCTATACTGCATCAGCATGACAACAGGAAGCTATGTAATTATTTTGACCCTGCCGTAAAGGTTCTGTTATGTATTCCTGCTATAATTTTGCTTTAGACTTAAACTTGCAAGTATTGTTGTGGGAGCAATTAAAAAAACAAAAACATAATTTCTAAATAAAAATCCTTTTTATAGAGGTATTACTGATATTGCTGCTATTACTGATTGTAAAAGATTTTTGTAGAACTATAACTGAAAATCATGTTTTTACAATGTAATTCTCTAGGCTATTAGTATATTATACTGAGTAAGCCTTTTTGAGATATAGATAGATATAGATATATATAAGAAAAATAGGTTTTAGTACACAGTTTTTTGCATTTGAAAATCTGTTTCTCTCTTTGCATAACTGGTTTTCATATTTGGTAATATGCTTATCTGTTAATTTCAGTCACACCATACTACAAATGAATGCAATACCTTGTAACAGGTACTGTGTGATGGCATCATTACATGGGGTCCAAATCCCACTCTCATGCAAGTATCCACACTGACTTCAGCAAGACTGGTTGCATAAATAAGCGGAGCAGGATTTTGACCAGTGGTTTTCTCACACTGTTCTATGTAATGACTTCAGTTGACTCTTTGTAGTATGTCAAATCATAAATAATCTTTTGTTAAACAAAAGTAGTAACTACAGATTTACACTGAAGACTAATTGCAGCAAAAAAATTATTCTGGCCTGGCAGTGTGGATGTTAGATTTGCTAAAACAATATTTACAAAACAAACCATCAAGAATGGGTTTGTTAAATTGTCTAAATATATGTATTTACACATGTTTACAAATTAAGAGCCAAATCTGTTTACATATTAAAGGCCAAATAGGAGTTTTGCAATTGGCTTCAGTGGACCCAGGATTTGGTCCAAATATAGGCAGTTTGTTATATCATCTCTTATATTTTTATTGAATTGTTTCTTCTGTCTTTCTCTCTTAGAATACAATTAAGGGGAGGGAAAGGAAATTTAAACTAAACAAACAGGTGGAAATAATTTTAAAGGCCTGACCTACACTCACAAAGCAGGGAAATTAAGAGTTAAGGCTTGAAACTTATTAGTTTCTAGTTCTAGATAGAAGGATAACAAAAGTACAAGGCAAACAATTCCTTTGGAGAGAAGAAGCATTTCAATTACCTCTTCCTTTTATTGTAAACTCATTCCTCACTATGAGTGGACTCCAAGCATCATAGTTAGCGGGTAAGTCACAAGAACCAAAGCTGACGTATGGATAAAGCAGCAAGATCATAATACATCGAAGTATCATATATACTGAAGAAATAATTCAGTGTCTTTAGATTTTCCTATAAAAATTTGTGATCTATATAGGACTTCATTCACATCGACACTAACAATAAGTATTTGCTTTGGCGGTAGTGGATCACACATCTGTTTAACTTGCTTTATATATATATTTTTTTTAATATAAGGTTTCTGTGTCATACAGATGTGAGTCAGGTAGCATTTGATTTTCCCCCACTACTGAGGTGTCCCATGGTCAGTATCCACTGGATTCTTGATTCATTGACTTTTGCCACGTGAATCCATCTCTTAGAAGAACAAGCTTAGTTTTTAACTCATAATCAGTCAGCATAAATAATAAATCCAGAAAATGTGCTGTATTTGTTGTTGTTTCCTCCATGTGCTTTTCCTCCATCCAATTTTATGTAAACTTCATCTCCTGGCTCCAAATGAAGAACCACGCTGTTACTGGCATAGTCGTAGTTCTGATCAGCATCCTGAGCAATTGCACTAGCTCGAACCTATGTAAAACAAAAACAAACATCAATGTTTGGTTATGAAACTTGGACATTCCTCCTGCATGGTGTAATTAAAACATGTCGTAAAAAGGAGTTGCACACATTCAGTGCTACTTTAAATATGCCTATACACTTCTCAGCTGTAGTTTTCCCCTAACAATATCATCACTATTTCTGCCATTGCTAGAAATGGTTTACAGTGTAGCAGCAAGTTCTCCCATTTTTCCTTTTTCCCCATATTTAGCAAGTAGGCTAAATATTTTAACTCAAATCATTATCACATGGCTTGTTTGCCTCTGATTAATACGAAACTGCTCACTCTCACATCTCCAGCTATTTTGCTCCTACGGACTTTTTTTTTTTAACAAAAAATAGCTAGACTCCAGGGACCTGATTATGGGCTCACTCCAGTTTTAGATTCATGTAACTCTAACTCCAGTGGAACTACTCCCGATTTACACTGGCATGAGATCACTATCAGCCCCAGGTATTAAGGTAGAGTTTTTCAGAAATGTTCTGATCATCATAGTTACCAGATCGTGTTGCAAAAACACAGAAATAAAATATTTTTCTGCCAATGAACTTTAAACCCTTGTAGTTGATTTATCTCCAAATAAGTAATCAAAATCTAAATGAAATGCTGAAGAACAAAAAAATACTAGTGGGTAAACAATCCAATCCATAGTAGGAAATTCTGTTCTTGCCACATATTTCACTTAATCATTTAACTTCTGTACAGTCTAAAAGATATAAATTTTAAAATTACATCAGCATGTACTTTAAGATGAATTATGGAGATTTCAGATATTTGATTTTTTAAAAAAACTGAATATACTACTTTAACGCAAACATTTTTCCCTTCTTACTGTTTGGCTACTAATTGAGTTTGTCATTATTAGCAAAGAAAAAGGAATTTATTAGCAAACTGAAAGGAATTTATAATCAATATCAAATTGTATGTCAGTTTTGAGCTACGAATATTCTGTCGCATCCTCAAGTAAAGGTAATCCTTCAAATCATTTCACTATAATTTAGTTCTGCTTTGTAAAATATTTAAACTGATTTGTATGTGATTTATTTTAGTATAGCACATCATCTTTGTTGCTTGGCCCTATTCTAGAATAGTTATACAGAGCAGTAAGTGATTTAGTGGTTTTGCAAACCAGAAGTAAGTAATAATGCATGACTTGACTTACAATATGTGGGATTTTTATCTTCAGAATTGAAAAAAAAAATTATAAGTCTAGAATTTCCATGCATTCCTTTTAAAGTTTAAATGATAGGTTTTCAGATTAAATTTTCATGTGGCATGATCCCATGTTAATAGTGAAATGTTAAAAAGAAAGGCTCTTTAGCACTCCAGATCTCAAGGTATTTCATTATGAAGCTTAAGCAGCAAAAATTCTCTATGCATCACCTAGCAGGAGTGAGACCGGCTTACAAGGTTTATAATTGCATAACAATGTGCAAATTTAAAGGAATACATTAATATAGGAGTCATTGGTTCACATGTATAATTGTTTATTGAGATGATCTGTTTTGACCATTATTTCAGCAATAACTATCAAGGCACGGGACATTTCTTAGGGATTAATGACCATCAGGGCAGAATTGATGGCTTTGGGCCATTAACTCCAGAAATACTCCTCCATAGAAAATAGAGGTTGTTATTGCTACTATAAATGGAGGAAGAGGGAATAAATATGTGGCCATGGTTAGTTTGTTTTTTAATATCTGTGAAACAAAATGATTTTTCTAGGGAATTAATGCCCTGCACATTGGTAAATTGAATTGTTTAAATTACCACCCCACCCCAAACACACACACAGACAAATTCAATTCATGCCACAATTAAATTCTACTTGTTGGATATATCTAATATTTATACCTGTGTTGTTATGAATAAGTATATCTGCGGTACATTAACAAACTATTTGGGCTATTGGCTTTACCATTAAAGGTGTTCATTATGAAGACTTTATGGGTGATAAACGTTCGCTACAGCAATGGACATTTCATTGCTAAGACTCTAGGAGTACTTATTGGCTGTACTGAGAGAATGATTTAGACACTGAGAACCTAAAAATAATCTAGCAGATTGTATTAATTTGTGTATAGCCACAAAGCCCTGTAAATGCATTAACTTGGTCGCACAATCCAGTGTGTTACCCTTAAGGGTTTTTCTTCCTTTGTTTGGGAAAGCCAATGTAATTTCTTTTTAAAGCCTATGAAAATAGTCTCAGAAGACTCCTAAGTGTACTGCCCTAAGAGTGTAAATGTATTTCAAAATTAAACCATTAATGTAGTATCCATTTTATAAGTTGCATGACTGCCCACCTCATCATTTTATACAGGTACATTGGGACACTGAAATTGCAAACACATACCGGCTAAGCAATGTGATCTCAGCACTTCTTGTGTTTAAGCTCTATAACTATTAAGGAAGGCAATGCGTTACACTGGAGACCATGAACTTCCTAATATACATTGCTTTGGGATGATTTTTCCTATAAATCATGCCCTCTCCCCGTAGTAATTTCCTCCCTTAGAGAATACTATTGAATATATAACAGCATCTAGGGCAGACACAGACCCCGTTTTAACAATTTCATTTTATAATGTCTAGGCTTTTTCACAAATACCATAGAAAGTTAACTACTATCACATTGCATCACCCACCAGTGTTTCACGAACAAATCACACTTTTAAAAAAGGCACCCGTGCACTAAAACTAATTAATTTCAAATAAACTGAGTCCTGCTATTTAAGCTTAACCACCACTTCTCATCTTACATATAAAGATAAAAAAAATTAACATCCCTTGTACACAAGACTCTCCTTTCATTCAGCGTGAGCTGTGTTTGTGTAGTCATTCTAGGGGGTTGAGATCTTAATTGTTGGGATCTTTTCGGTTAGTCTCAGGCTCAATTTAATATTTATAATTAGGTTTTCTCAAATGCACGCCTCACTTACTTCGTAGTGGTATTTTATTTTACTTCTAGCAGGTAGTGGGAGAAATACTTAATACGTTTTAATACCCAAATATAGGCTCATGATTTAATCGCAGATACGGTAGACTCACTACACAGCATTGCTTTTATAGGAAGAAGTCAGCGCGGTTGTACTACATTTTAGCACTGTTTTAATAGTGCAGGCTCAGCTGCAGACGCAGTATTTATGGTCGACATTTGCTAATTTAATTAATTGCCGCTGACGTCCTCATAACTCCATTCCACGGTACTTCTGAGAAACCATAAACAAAAGGTTAAGTGGCATATCAGATTAATTTACTGGCCTTTGCTGCTTCCATCTGTGCGCCTGCATTCAACACAGTGCCTAAGTGAAATGGCTCGCGTCTGGTTACAGTACAGGGAAATTGCGCTGTACAGGAGTGTTAAGCATTTTTAAACTTCATTTTTGTGCCTTTCAGAGGGGGGGAGGGGGAACGTTAATCCGAAAAGCGACACGGAATAGTGACCATGGCACAGTGACATGGAATCCCAAATTTCAGCTTTATGAGAACAATCCCTATCCCTGTCAGTCCAAGTAAACCTGCCCAGCACATGGGTTAGCCTGGAGTCTGACTGCACAGAGAGCAGCAAAGCTGCAGTGTGCGCTTTCTGTTAGCTGCCAGCATCAACCTTGCAACATTGTCAATTTACTAGAGGGAAATTCTTTACATAGCGGTATAGAATTTTTCAGGTACGGTGTCGGTTGGCTTTCTAGTCCCAGAATAGGCCTGGGGTAGGAAACAGTTTATAGTTATTGAATTACTTGTAGAACAGTAGTCACGCTTGTAAGTTTCCCTGTGCGTTAGTTCATATAAATAGTATTTAGAAACTACAGTAGAATCTTCGCATCTGACCAATTTAAAGCTTCAGCAGCCACCGGTAATTCTGGCCACATGCCAAGCGTCTCTGATCATTTCAGAAAGCATGACAAGCGTCTTCTACCCACTGTCCATTAACCAGCATAGCGAAATGCTATAGTAGTTAGTACAAGAGAGAGCGAGAGAGAGAGAGAGAGTGTGTGTGTGTGTGTGTGTGTGTGTGTGTGTGTGTGTGTGTGTGTGTGTGTGTGTGTGTGTGTGTGTGTGTGTGTGTGTGTGTGTGTGTGTGTGTGTGTGTGTGTGTGTGTGTGTGTTCGGCGTACAGGAAAGAGGTGCAAAGTTACGGGGAACATTTCCACAAACTCAGCAGGAGCAGCATTTAGACTAATTAAAATGGATTATTCCTCTGTCTTGCATACTGTAACATCTCAAGATCTTTCATTATGTCGAATATTTCGGTGTTGCTGCGAAAAAGATGGCGAATCTCAGACTCTGAGCCCTAAAAACCAGGGCTCTTTCATGTTTGGTTTGGCTGTTACATTTTGAAAGAAATCCACAAGTCTTGCTCTATCTGTACCTAAGAGAGTACTAATAGGGAGTCTGTAGATAATATTAATGTTCTTAGTTATAAAAGTGCTTTAACAGAGGAATTATGCCAGAATAATAAATTACCCGTTCTGTCAACAGTGCCTTAAAAGCCCTTAGCTGCCAGCCTATCACCCCGATATTGTGTCCAGTAGTTTCTATTGATGGCATGTTTCACACGGGAGATTCGGATTGCCTCTTGGTTACTTAGCTCTTAGTAGAATGAGTAAGTGGCCATGTCTCCTGCTGATGGGAGTTCTGCCCCTTCTAGTCCCCAGCTGGGCCATGTTCCCATTACCCTCTTACTGCGCGTTGGCTTCCCGTGTATTTCGCGTCTCCTTGCCCAGTGTAATCTTACAGAAACTCTCAGGGCGTCTGGCTTCTCTGGCCACCCCATGGGCCCCGCCTTTCTGTGCCTCCCGGCCTGGGCGCTTGAGAGAGGAGCATCCCGTGTAGGCAGCGGGGGGTTAACCGCAGCCCTCCAGGGTACAGTTCAGATCCGCTTCCCCGCGGCGACCCCCATTTTGAGGCCGTGCTGCTCAGGGAAAGGAGCAATTCCCGGCCACAGCCGCCCCCCGGGGCGGGGGGGGAGGGGAGCGCAGCGGGGAATTGCTTCCCCCCACGTGCTTGTCAGAGTCTCTCAGCTGTGCACGGCGCTGTCTCCGGGTGCCCCGCGGTGCTTTCCAGCTCACTCCCCTGCAAGCGCTGTCACTTCAGCACCCTACGGGGTGTTACTGAGCATCGCTGGGCCGGGGCGGCGGCCTCCCCCCCTTCCTGTGCAGACGTGCCCAGGGCGGCCCGAGCTGGACCGGAGAGGGTGGGGAACACGAGGGCAAAAGGAGCCAGACAGCAGCGCCCAGGTTTGGCACCGCCCTGCTACCGCTGCAGGGCCCCCGGAGCCCCCGCTCTGCCCCGCCCGGCCGGGTCCCGGCTCCCCAGAGCAAAGCCGGATTGACTCGCTGGGAGAGAAGGGACGTAATCCCCGTCCCCCGAGGTCATCGCAGGGCTCCGAGCCTCCTCCCCGGAAGCCAACGGGGAGTTTCCCCATCGGCCTTAAGGGGGCGGGACAGGCCCAGCCCGGGGCCGCCTAGCTCCTAACGCCCCCCGTCCCGTGTCCGTCCCCTCCCCGCCAGGCGTCCTCTCGGGGCCCGTCCACTCCCTCCCCCCCCCCCCGGCTGCCCGACACCACCCCTCCCCCGGGGACCTGCCCTTGCGTACCCCCTGCACACCCCCGTGTGCTCCTCTCCACCCTCCCGGGCCCACTTCTCCCCGGCCTCCCACTGCCTCCTCTCCTCTCCCGCCGGTGCTTCCCCGCGTCTCCCCTCTCCGTGATCCCCCACATCTGGTTCCTCTGCCTTCGGGCCCCCCTCCATGTCCCATCCAGATCTGCTCCGCTCCCCCCACCCCATATCCACCCCGGACTCCCCCGGCACCTGGTGCCCCCGCCCCGGGCTCCTCCCCAGGCCCCCAACGCCCCCGGGCTCCCCACCCCCGGGCCCCGGCCCCTCACCTGGTTGTTCTTGCAGAGATCTGCCCACATGCTGGTGCCGTCGCCGCCCCGCATCAGCACGTGGTAGGTGAAGAAGTAGATGCCGGGGATGGAGCACGTGAACTTGCCCGTGGTGGGGTCGTAGTGGTTGCCCAGGTTGGTGACCACGTCGTCGAACTTGAGCACCTCGTAGCCCTCGTGCTGGCGCTTGAGGCCGGCGTAGAAGGCGATCTTGGGCACGGTGCTGTAGGTGGCGGCGCTGATGGCCCCGGCCGCGTTCAGCCCCGGCGCCCCGGGGGGACCTGGCAGGCCCTGGCGCCCGGGCTCGCCCTTCTCCCCCGGGGGCCCCACCGGCCCGGGCGGCCCCGGCTCCCCGGGCGGCCCGCGGGGCCCCGCCTTGCCCGGGCGGCCGGCCTCGCCCTTGGGTCCCTGGATGAAGGTGGGCAGGGACTGCATGAGGCCGCGGTCGGGCGTGGCCGCCGTGCTGGGCGCCTTGGTGCCGCCGTAGGGGTCGCAGACCATGCGGCAGGTGCCCAGCATCTCGTAGTGGGCCGAGGTGCCGGCCGAGCTCACCAGCACCGGGATGAGGATGACCAGCAGCAGCACCATGACCACCCCCAGGGCGCCGGCCGCGATCAGCCGCCGCCTGCTGCCCACCAGCCGGCTCAGCGCAGGGCGATCCTCCTGCCTGCTTTTGGACAAAATCTTGCTGGTTGGGCGGGGACCTCCTCAGAGCCGAAAACACCCCGAAACCCCTGGCGAGCCCGAGCCCCCCGGCTCCGCTCCTGCGGCGATGGGGCGAGGAAAGTGCCCGCGGCCTCTCCACAAGGCAAAGTCTGAGCCCCGGGCACCTGTGGCTGTCGCTGCTCTAGCGCGCAGGGAGCTGCAGCCCCGCGCCGGAGCCGCTCACACTTTTATGCTCCTGCTGGCGATCGACTTTTTTTTTTTTGCATACGGTGCCACTTCGAATCAACTTTCCCTCGCGCCGGCCTCTTCGCGCCCCTCGCGATCGCCCCGCTTTCCTGCCCCCCTCCTTTTTTTTTTTCTGCAGAGACAAGAAGTCTCCCAAGGCAGCGCCGGCTGGTGAAACTTGCAAGGGCGCACGAAAAATCCCCCCTCGCGGCAGCGGCCCCGTCCCCTCCTCGCCGGTTCCTGCTTTCTTCCTGCAACGCGCACCCGCGGGCGCTCTGCGGGGCTGCTGGCTGGGTGCGGAGCTACCGACAGAGTGAGCGCTGGAGCCTGCCCGCTTGCCACCTGCCAGGAGAAGAGGAGGCTGACAAAGGCGCCGAAGCAATTTATAGGCACCCAAAAGCGCAGGGGAAAGGGGAGCTGCTTTGGCATCTCATTCCAGCAGCTGCTCCGCTCTTCCCACTCACACCGAGTTTGGCATCACCCTGCCAGTGTGGGGATTTTTCCCTCCCTGCAAACGGATGAACAGTGAAATCGTGGGCACTCCCTGGCGCTGAGAGTCTCTCCGGAGCGGCCCGAGGGGAAGAGCAGGGTTTGGATACCTGACGGGTCACCGAGCTAGGACGGAAAGGTCACCTCCACCTCCTGGTTAATGGGTCCCCGAGCTCTCCCCAGCCACATTAACATGGGATTGGAAATATCACTTTTCATCTCAGGACCAGGCTTCTCACTTCACCTGATTGTCCGAGTGAAAGTTATTTGAAACCACACCTCCCTCCGCTCAGGCGAAAGGAGATTAGCTGCTCCCACGGATTGTAGAGCACGGGCATGTTCCTTATGACACCCCTAGAAATAGCTCGTGGGAAATGTCTCGCTCTTGGAATTAAAATTAAACCATCTACTGGTGACTTGTCCAAGGCTGCTTCATATTGTAGCCAGCTCCCGTTTTGTTCAGAATATGGTATTGTGATAAAGAAGTTTAAGAAACCAAGCCAGTGAAAAGGGCTCCCGCTCATGCAAATCAGCCTAGCCCAGGACTAGGGTAAAGATAGGACTGCCCCGGGTAAAGATAGGGACAGGAAATAAGTTTTGATGGCAGGGTCCCTTCCTCCCCTCCTCTTCCCACTGGGGGCTGGTGGGCACCTCTGGTCTGAGTGGGTAGGTGAAAGACCAGCCTGCATGTTACATTGGGGCCAACTCCCCACAGAGGCTGTTAAGCAAGTTACCCAGTTAACAAAGCTACAAACTGCACAAAGCGCTCTTTAAATAAATAAGCAGAATTGATTCCTAAATCATACTTCTGCATGCAAGAGCAATGGACGTCAGTCAAAGGCGGGTGACATTTGCCTGTCAATACGGGGATGATAGCTGGAAAGCGTATGACTTATTACAGCGGGGCGAGAATCCGAAATGAGCCCCAGCAGCAACTAAGACAACAACCAAATAATACCATCTCCAGCGACGATCAGAGGGGCTGCGATCTTGTCTGGGATTTTGTTAGCACGAATCGCCTCCCCCCGCCCCCTTCCCTTTTCTTTCTTTTCTACTCCGCAACACAATAAGGTCAAACAGGCAGGCGGTGGGAAACAAAGATTCATCGATTCTTCCTTTTAAGCAGAAATGTCAGCAGCTCCTTTTGCTCTTTCCTGGGAGACTCGAAGGCAACGAGTGAGTCCAAGCGGTGCAGAGATGGGCCAGCCCAGCTGCTTATCTCCCCAGCAGGCTGCTGATAAAGCTTCCGCTTCCCGCCCTTGTAAATATTTCCCCCTTTTCTGTTTTTTGTTACCGTTCTACTTCTTTAAAAAAAAAAATCTTTATCTGGCAAAGACACAAGCTAGTCAGTTCCCTTAGCTATGAGCTCCCACTCCAGCCCTTTGGAAATCAGCTGAAGCCACTTGTTTAGACCACATCGTTCGCCTCCTCCCAAAGGACAAGCTATACAAGTCTGCTTTTTCTTCTTTGCAAGGAAAAGTTCTGGTAGGAGCTATAGGGCAGTGTGAAGCATCCTCAGCTTCATTCTTCCCCAGCCCCAGTAACATCATGATCAGGGCTGCTTGTAAAGCCCCACTTCAAGTGCATCAGGCTGCAAAATAAATAAATAAATCGTCTTAAATGCTCATCCTGCCTATGTGTGGTTCGTCAGGGACCATTCAGTGACCTTGGTGGGTATGTGTAAAAAAAGTATTGCACAAGATCACCTGCCTCTGGATTAGAACAGCCCTGGATATACAGAGGCCCCAATCCTTCCATCTGGAAAGTTATTCATAGCTCAGCACTTCCACAACATGTTTAAGGGGTGTGAGTGTTTGATATGTTACTGGCTTCTGGAGGGGTTGGTTGCACAGTTGTAGCTGAAGTCAGAATTTAGTCCAGTTTATCAAGTAATTAAATGTTTCAAATCTCTTCATTATTATTATTAGGTTACACAGTTGCTGATCCTCCTTGTCCTTGTCTATACTGGCCACCCCCATTTAATATTGTCCACACACCCATCAGTGCTTCTCCCTAGCCGTTAGGACGAAAGATTATACAAATGGAAAAGGTTTACTCATCCTTCCGGCTAATCAAGGCTTTCTGATACTGATTCAGCTCTCGGATTCCTGTAGTCTTTCCTAGTGTTTTTGAAGCCCTCTTCCTGGTCTGCTTGGCACAGCAACAGTTCGCCCAAAGAAGGGATCTCAAAGTCAGAGAGAGAACAGTTCGGGCTTGATGGGAAGAGGCACTGAAGAGACAGGCAATAGGCCTATTTCAAACTACAGTAGTTGACAAATGGCAGTTTTTCATACTAGGAGGGAAAATGAATAAAACCCAAACAAGACAAAGTACTGCGTATGGCTGATAATCTGTTCAGATAGCCCACCGCACCACTGTACCTAACTACTTCCAAAAATATTATAAGGGAGTTTGTGCTCAGAACATCTGTGAGCTAAAAGTGTTATTAACCTCTATTTTTCAGCTGCGACACAGAGAAATCTTGTCCAAGAGCACAAAGAAACTTTGTGCAGAGCTGGGCATTCAACCCAGATATCCTGAGCCCACGCCCTAGCCCAGTACCTTAACCACAAGACCATCCTTCCTTTTTAATAGAAAAATGCACACATATAAGAGAGGTAAGACTGAGCCAAAGGGGCCAAACGTTACCCTGAAGGATCCAACAATCTGAGACTAGAACAAAGTCAAGGCACTGTGAAAAATCAGATGTTTTGGGCTCACTTATCCTTTGGCTAAAAAAACTGGGCATTTGTGTTCCTGTCGTGGTACTTTTGAGCACTGATATGCTGTAGTTAAGGCTGGAGTAGTGCTTACTTTATTAGCCCCTCTTCCAAGGTAAAGTCTGGGTTGACAGCCCATTTTTAATTTATCCCATTACACCTACATTAGATGTTGCTAGTCTTACAACAGTGATCGTCCTTACATTTCTTTGTCTAGGTACACCTCTACCCCGATATAACACAAATTCGGATATAACGTGGTAAAGCAGTGCTCCGGGGGGGGCGGGGCTGCGCACTACAGCAGATCAAAGCAAGTTCAATATAACGCAGTTTCACCTATAATGCGGTAAGATTTTTTGGATCCTGAGGACAGCGTTATATAGGGGTAGAGGTGTATTTTTACAACCTCCCGTGGCCTTGTTCTCACCTTTTTAACCACTTCCCCCCATCTCTCTGTTTCGGTATAAGAGGCCTACTGTTCACACAAGGATACTGCTGCTGGTGCTTGAACTTGGACACACACCTCCTGCTCCCAAGCTCCTGCCATTTGCAACAACCTACCTACAGCTCTTTTCCTTACTGACTAGTTGGTTAACATTGATATAGTCTCGAAGGTGTAAAGCATAATCTGAGTGTTATATCTCTTTGTGAGGATATACCAACACCTCGGTAATAAGAAAAGGGAAAACAGACTAGGTACCCTAGCTAGAAGACAGGGAAATATGGCCAGCAACAAAATGGCTACTTTAGGACTACAACTGCCTCCTTGTTGCTAAATGTAAAGTCTTAGGCCCAGAAGAGCACGCTAGGAAAAAGTTCTGATAATAAGGCAGCCCGGCACACTGTAGAGTTAGTAAGAATGAGGCATATGCCAAACAAGGGGTTGATTTGATGTTGTACCGAGCACCATGATTATATTTGAAATTGCCTGTGAAGCCACAGCTTTTCTTCCTTGTCCACAGCCGCTTCTCTTTTGTTCAGATATTATTTTTAACACTTGCTGCTTTAAAAACCATAAAAAGCATTTTAGGTTACAGCTGGTAAGAAAAAAAACGTATAGAAAATAAAGTTGTGTTGGCTTGTATCTTTAAATTGCTGGTTTAATGGGATACATTTGAAGCTTAAAGTTAGGAGCCAAAGTCAGTGCTGGGGTGTCCCAAAGAGTTTACACGCACTTACACTAACAATGAACCGGGTTCAAAATATGTACTTTGAAATACAATATGAATAGGGGAAAGGAGCACATCTGAATGGCTGGCCTAGAGGTACCACTATGAACTATCACATGTGGCACCAGAGTTCTGCTTTCTGGGCTTTTCTATTCTTGCTACATTCTTATGCTTCACCCATCACTGTAAAATCTCAGCACTGGCAGATTTGTGGTATCCTGAGTCTGGAAGGCCCAGTGCCACTCAACAGCATCATCTGGTGGATAAAGAACTGTTTAGCTGAAAGTTGGTGGAAAATCAGTAATCAGCTCATCTGAATGGATAATATATTTGTAGTGATGCAAGTCATGTGCTGGATTTTTTAACCATACTAGATTTTCTGTATACCAAAGATACTCAGTTTCTGTGTTTAGGAATCCTGGTGCTCTGCTTATCATTTCCCCCAAACATTTTAATTTAGCATTTCTGTTGGCAGGATATTTTCTAAGATTTGAGCAACTTTTTTGTGGTCAATAATCCTCCAAATTAAATCTTACCACAAAGAAAAATGACCTTTGACACATCGATCAGGATGGGTTTGGTACCAGAAGAATGTATGTATCAGAATAATCTGCAAAAAATTAAGTTTAATCTTGAAAGGATTACAACCAGTTTTCAAATCAAAATCAGGGTTGAGTTCAAAGAGGGCTGTCACTCAACTGACAGGGCTCAGCGAGGGGAAATTGCAAATAAATTCAACATCTCTCTTCCTTTTTATCTTTTAATCTGAAAAGATCAGTAAAATATGACTAGTTAGGAGGGGGAAGAATTTTTAAACTGCAAGATCTATATTCAAGTCATGTATATAGTGTTTTGACTGATGAATTATTGCAGATATAAAATGATGACTGCACATATAAAATTAGTCTTAATCAAATAAGAGTGAACATTTAACTGACCAAGTTTAAGGATATTAAATGATCACATATAACTTGATAATTGCACACATAAAGATCAGTAACTAACCATATACAAACATTCATAACCACATCTGTGCTCAAGTATTGCAAAAATTAAATTGCTAATTGCAAACATAAAAGTCAGTTCTTGTAGATCTCCCCTCCCCATTTAAATTTGTACTTATCATTTTCCTACGTGCTTCCATCTCTGCTTTTACTCTAAAATGGAAGTCAACAAGCTATATTCTCCTCTTAAATTAATTTCCACCCATAACTCTCTAATGTGTACAATATAATGTTGACGTGAGGCACATGAAAATTACAGTGAGCCACTGGAATATTTTTAAAACCAGTGAACATATTAAATATGTTTTAAAAACAATAATACACGCTTCCAAGTATGCATCCAATTATTAAATCATTTTCTGTATAGCATGATTGATCCTGCAACACTTAGACTGTTGTAACTGCAATGGTTGTATTCATTGCCTAAAGCCAGTGTCACAGTCCCTGGGCTGGCTGCCCCTGCTGACTCCCTTTTCTAGTCCTCCACGTGCACCCCTTAAAGTGACAGACCTGTGCCCCCACTTCTCTTTGCGGTGGGGCCCTAGATAGACATGACTTAGCCTTGGTGCCATCCCTCATTCTCTTGGTTACCAAGATACAGCTTTCTTGCTGCAACCTCTGACTCTCAAGCAGTCTGTGTCTGCCTGCAGCGGCTGACATCTTCTGTCCTCCCTTTCTGCAGGGCAGACCTTTTAACTGATCAGTGGCTTTTGCTCTCCAGGTTCACAGCATTGGCAATACAGCTGTG